GCAACCCCTTCAAACATGTCATCATACAAACATATGCTCTTGTTGCCCAGGATGGAGTGCAATGGCGTACATCTCGGCTCACTGCAACCACAGCCTCCTGGGTTCAAGCAATTCTCCTGCCCCAGCCTCCTGAGTAGTTGGGATTACAGGCATGTGCCACCACGCCCAGCTAATTTTGTATTTTTAGTAGAGATGGGGCTTTTCCATGTTGGTCAGGATGGGCTCAAACTCTCGACCTCAGGTGATCCGCCTGCCTTGGCCTCCCAAAGTGTTGGGAATACAGGCGTGAGCCACCACGACCAGCCAAATAAGTCTTAAGTCTATTTTCCCATCACACATGCCTGCCTGCTTCTCCTCACTATCCAAATCAGTAGATTCATTTTTGGTCAATAGGCAGCTAAAATCCAAACTCACAGTATAAAAGACTGTTGTGCATTCAGGTTTTAAAAAAATTCCATCTTACAATTTTTGAGGAACTACGAAAGCAAGGTCTCTTTTACTTTTTTCATTATACTTTAAGTTCTGGGGTACATGTGCAGAACATGCAGTTTTGTTATACAGGTATACACATGCCAAGGTGGTCTGCTGCACCCATCAACCTGTCACCTATATTAGGTATAGCTCCTAATGCTATTCCTCCCAGCAAGGTCTCTTTTTCAAAGACAGATCGGTTCCTTATTTTCTCCTTTTTCCTTGACTGAGGCCTACTTTCCACTTTTCTGGTAACTGCCACCTCTGATTCTAAATCCTTTGGAACTCTTTCCTTTCCTGCTACTCTAGCTTGGCTTCAGAGTGCAAGTCTTCCTGTCTCCTAGATCCTTAAAAAAGAGCCTTGAGGCCGGGCATGGTGGCTCACGCCTGTAATTCTAGCACTTTGGGAGGCCGAGGTGGGCGGATCACCAGGTCAGGAGATCGAGACCATCCTGGCTAACATGGTGAAACCCCATCTCTACTAAAAGTACAAAAAATTAGCCGGGTGTGGTGGTGGGCGCTGTAGTCCCAGCTACTCGGGAGGCTGAGGCAGGAGAATAGCGTGAACCCAGGATGCGGAGCTTGCAGTGAGCCGAGATTGCGTCACTGCACTCCAGTCTGGGTGACAGAGCAAGACTCTATCTCAGAAAAATAAAAAAAAAAAAAGCCTTCATTATGGAGGGCAGATGATAACTAACACAAATATGGAGAAGCTGAAGTTCTTACAGGATCACTTAGAATAATGGGCTCCAAAAAAGAAAAACAAACAAACAAAAAAATCTCTTATAGGAGTAATTCCAGGACTACAGTTTTATTCTGGGTTAGTACACGAAAGACCCAAGTAATCCTGCCATTATTTTTTATTTCTGTGATTGGCGCTCAACCACCTTCCCTCATTTCCATCTTTAGCTCAACTTTTGCTGAAAGTTCCTATCCCAACACAGAAAGTTAAATAAGGCCTGAGTGTCAAGTGCAATAAATAGTTCATACAGCCTCTGTCCAGCCCATTTGAGCACTACACACAAGTAGTAAAGCAAAACTCACTAATAATTAACTATTTGTCATTAGGTAGATTCCCTTCACCTGAAACTACATACGCCATGCAAGTCTAAACATCAGTTAAAAAGAAAGCACCAAGTTTTGTGCAGTGGTGGTATCATAGCCAATGAAGTTTACGTGAGGTACAATTACTGCTATTTGTAAGACAAAACAAAACAAAATAAAACAAAACAAAGTACCTATGAGCTTTGGCATCTTGCAACCCCTTCAAACATGTCATCATACAAACATAAAAATAGTGGAGACTGAGCACGGTGGCTCACGCCTGAAATCCCAGAGCTCTGGGAGGCTGAGGTGGGTGGATCAGGAGGTCAGGAGTTCAAGGCCAGCCTTACCAACATAGTGAAACCCCATCTCTACTAAAAAATACAAAAAATTAGTTGGGCGTGGTGGTGGGCACCTGTAATCCCAGCTACTCAGGAGGCTGAGGCAGGAGAATAGCTTGAATCTGGGAGGCGGAGGTTGCAGTGAGCCGAGATCTCGCCATTGCACTCCAACTCAGGCAAGAGTGTGAGACTCTGTCTCAAAAAGAAAAAAAGGAAAGCATCCTGAAAATTTCTGAGGCAAGGGAAAATGCAATGCAACATATGGCTATAAGAAGAGCAAAACATGTATTAGTGACAGATCCATTACTTCCTTTTTCAACAAGATGCACATTAGAGTAAAATAATTCCTACAGATTTCCTTTTAACATAGCCCTACTCATCTTTCCAAACTAGGGCTAAATCACAGTATGACAGAGTACAGGTATTAATAGTCAAAGGATGAATGCTGCACATCTTCCTGCTGGGCAATACTACTTGGTAGTAATATAAAATATATATACATATATACATATACACACATTTTGAGATGGAGTCTTGCTCTGTCACCAGGCTGGAGTGCAGTGGTGTGATCACGGCTCACTGCAACCTCTATCTCCCAGGTTCAAGCGATTCTCCTGCCTCAGCATGCTGGGTAGCTGGGATTACAGGCATGCGCTACCATGCTCAGCTAATTTTTGTATTTTAGTAGAGATGGGTTTTCACCATGTTGGCCAGGATAGTCTCTATCACCTGACCTTGTGATCCGCCCGCCTCAGCCTCCCAAAGTGTTGGGATTACATGTGTGAGCCACCGCGCCCGGTCATAAAATATTTTAATTTAAACTGAAGAGAGAAATATGATAGAGCACACAACAAAATTCACATTCATTCTTTCTTTTTTTTTTTCCGAGACGGAATCTCTCTCTGTCACCCAGGCTGGAGTGCAGTGGCACAATCTCAGCTCACTGCAACCTCCGCCTCCCAGGTTCAAACAATTATCTGCCTCAGCCTCCTGAGTAGCTGGGATTACAGGCGCCTGCCAGCACGCCTGGCTACGTTTTGTTTTTTAGTAGAGACGGGAAGTTTTGTTTTTTCAGTAGAGATGGGGTTTCACCATCTTGGCCAGGTTGGTCTCGAACTCCTGACCTCATGATCCACCGGCCTCAGCCTCCCAAAGTGCTGAGATTACAGGCATGAGCCATCACACCCAGCCCACATTCATTCTTAAAGTAAAACAGGAGATCACAAAGAAATTGGAAGTTTCAAGACCAGGCACGGTGGCTCATGCCTGTAATCCCAGCACTCTGGGAGGCCGATGCGGGCTGATCACCTGAGGCTGGGAGTTCAAGACCAGCCTGACCAACATGGAGAAACCCCGTCTCTACTAAAAACACAAAAAATTAGCCGAGCGTGGTGGCACATGCCTGTAATCCCAGTTATTTGGGAGGCTGAGGCAAGAGAATCACTTGCACCTGGGAGGCAGAGGTTGCAGTGAACCGAGATTGTGCCACTGCACTCCAGCCTGGGCAACAAGAACGAAACTCCATCTCAAAAAAAAAAAAAAAAGGAAATGCCAAGTTTCAAGAGTTATTTCCGATACACATATAGACCTCCAGGGGATATCATCCAGATTCTTCCTGGGAGATTAGTAATAGTAATTATATAACCCTGATGGTTTCAAAACACTACTGTAAATGAATTTTTGGGTGGGCACTGTGGCTCACCTCTGTAATCCCAGCACTTTAGAAGCCTGAGGCGGGCAGATTATCTGACGGTCAGGAGTTTGAGACCAGCCCGGCCAACGGTGGTGAACCCCATCTCTACTAAAAATACGAAAATTAGGTTCAGTGTGTGGTGGCACACACCTGTAGTTTCAGCTCTTGGGAGGGCTGCGACAGGGGAATCTCTTGACCTGGGAGGCGGAGGCTGCAGTGAACGGAGATCGTGCCCTGCACTCCAGCCCTGGTGGCAACACAGCAAGACTCCCTCTCAAAACAAACAAACAAACAAAGGCCGGCGCGCGTGGCTCCGCCTGTAATCCCAGCACTTTGGAGGCTGAGGTTGGTGGATCACGAGGTCAGGAGTTCAAGATCAGCCTGGCCAAGATGGTGAAACCCCATCTCTATTAAAATACAACAAAAATTAGCCAAGCTGGGGTGGAGAGCCTGTAATTCCAGGTACTCGGGAGGGCTGGAGGCAGACAATTTCTTAAACCCAGGAGGTGGAGGATGCAGTGAGCCGAGGATCAGGCCACTGCACTCAAGCCTGGGCAACAGGGCAAAACTGCATCTTAAAAAAAAAAAATTTTTTTCAATTGAAAAAAAAATTTGCATGAGGTATTCAATGAAATATAAGGCAGCTACAATAATGAAATGAAACTGCATGACGATGAGTAAGATGCACAGACATATAATCTCAAACTAATTTATATAGAGACTATTTTTTGACTGTACAGATAAGAGTTATAATCTATTGGAGGAGAGAGCTGACAAATTTAGCAACAAACCTTTCTGTTTTTTTTTTGTTTGTTTGTTTTTTTTTTGGACGGAGTCGTCGCGCTGTCGCCCGGCTGGAGGTGCAGTGGCCGGATCTTCAGCTCACTGCAAGCTCCGCCTCCCGGGTTTGGCCAGCCTTTCCTGCCGTCAGCCTCCTGAGTAGCTGGATACGGGCGCCCCGCCACCGGTCGCCCGGCGGTTTTTTTTGTATTTTTTAGTAGAGACGGGGTTTCACTGTGTTAGCCAAGATGGTCTCGATCTCCTGACCTCATGATCCGTCCGTCTCGGCCTCCCAAAGTGCTGGGATTACAGGCTTGAGCCACCGCGCCCGGCCAACTTTGTTTTTTACAAGTAATAGCCCAGACTGTAGTCCCAGCTACTCAGGAGGCTGAGGCAGGAGGATCACCTGAACCTGGAAGGCAGAGGTTGCTGTGAGATACGATTGCGCCACCGCACTCCAGCCTGTATGACAGAGTAAGATTCCATCTCAAAATAAATAAATAAAATAAACTAATAACCCAATATTGAAAATTTTGGGGAAAAACCTTAAAATTCTGTATGACTATAAATATAACTTGAAGAAATGATTTTTTAAAAAGTCATATTATGGATGACAGTGATTTATATAATGAAATTCAAATCTTCTATATTTTCTGTGATAACAGTTTACCATGAGTGACCCAAATACAATGTTTAAACATAATACACAAAATTGAATTCTGACATCATTGATAATTTGCTTACTTTCAGTCCTGAAAACCACAGCTTTACATGTATTTTTCTATTTGGTCATTACAAAGGTGTATTTGTCACAGTAGGAGGATGGAACTCATTTTATTCCGTGATGTGTTAGCTTAATTTATAACTTTTAAATATTTAGACACAGAGTTCATAATCTTAGCAAGGACCCCACAAAGGCTAGGGGCCAGTGTGAACCTAGCACCCCACCCACAAGTATGTTTCAAAACTAGACTGGGAATGAGGGGTGCAGAATACTGATTTAACAACAATTCCCTATTAGAGCTAGGTGGCTGGCATGTGCCACACCAAAGGCAGGAATGGGCAGGCCCAGGAGAGCCCTAGGAATGACTGTTCAAGGAAGGGGGCTATTGTCCCTCAAGCTGGAATGTAGTCAAGGAGGTGCTTTCAGCGTCAGCAAATGACAGCTGCAGCCAAAGGGAGATCTACAACAACCACAGGAGAAAACACCATCCTCCTCTTTGGGCCAGAGGGAAAGACAGACAGATGTCAAGGCAAAGAATCAGCTGCACCTTAATCTCCTCACTTTACTTGTCCCCATACTGCTTTCCTTCCTGCAAGTCATTTCTGCCTAATCAGATCCTACGCAGTTTGTAAATCAACTGAATTCCAGATTTTATCAGACTAGCAAGAATTAAAAATAATATGGGGGCTGGGTGCAGTGGCTCACACCTGTAATCCCAGCAATTTGAGAGGCCGAGACAGGTGGATCACGAGGTCAGGAGATCGAGACCATCCTGGCTAACACGGTGACAGCCCGTCTCTACTAAAATTACAAAAAATTAGCCGGGTGTGGTGGCAGGCGCCTGTAGTCCCAGGTACTCGGGAGGCGGAGGCAGGAGAAGGGTGTGAACCCTGGAGGCGGAGCTTGCAGTGAGCCAAGACTGTACCACTGCACTCCAGCCTAGGCACAGAGCGAGACTGTCTTAAAAAAAAAATAATGGGGCTGGGCATGGTGGCTCACACCTGTAATCCCAGCACTTTGGGAGGTCAATGCGGGTAAATCATCTGAGGTCAGGAGTTCAAGACCAGCCTGGCCAATATGGTAAAACCCTGTCTCTACTTAAAATATAAAAAAAATTAGCCAGGGCCGGGCACAGTGGCTCACACCTGTAATCCCAGCACTTTGGGAGGCAAAGGTGGGAGGATCACTTGAGGTCAGGAGCTCAAGACCAGCCTGACCAACATGGTAAAACCCCATCTTTACTAAAAATACAAAAATTAGCAGGGCATGGTAGCTCATGCCTGTAATCTCAGCTACTAGGGAGGCAGAGGTTGCAGTGAGCTGAGACTGTGCCAGCCTGGGACTCTGTCTCAAAAAAAAAAAAAAAAAAAAGGTTGGGCATGGCAGGAGGCACCTATAATCCTAGCTACTTGGGAGGCCAAGGCAGGAGAACTGCTTGAATCCAGGAGGCGGAGGTTGCAGTAAGCCGAGATCACGTCACTGCACTCCAGCCTGGGCAACAGAGGGAGACTCTGTCTCCAAAAAAACCCAAAACAAAACAAAACAAAAAATGGATAAATCCAGGCATAGTAGAGTAGCCTTTAGCATACTAAATCCTTTCACTAGAATCAATTACAAAATTTAACAGACTTTATTTACTGGTAAGGGGACTTTCCACGACAAAATAGTGGAAACCCAAGCAGAAAACAGCAGGAGACAGTTAGCAGTACTGGATTGTAAAGTAGCTGGAACTCAAGAGGCACAATCTGGGAGAGGAGGAAACCACAGAAAACT